ATTGAACTCTGCAGAAATCGAAGGTCCCTCAATTGTAATTTTGCAGGAGCAATATAATCAAAGCTGTAATCTGCCACCAATAGGCACTATAGATGATAGAGTTCCATCCCCTGAAATACCACATCGGCGTTGATTTAGCAAGCGCCATAGATAAGACACAAAAAAAAGCCCGCATTCCATCCCAATCTACTAACTTATAGTACCAAAAATGGCGGCAATGATAAGCATATGATGGGCACCGTACTCCGGATCAGGAAGATGTCTGAAGAACCAGGAGATGCATTGACCTCATAACCGTGCTAATAAGAGATCAGCAGAATGTCCAAGAGGGAAAGTGCATGATCCTCCACATCTAGAATCCGCTGGGGCAAAATGACAAGTTGTATCATCCAGATTATTCCAAAGGCAATGTAGTAAACAGATCTCTCCGCATGATCGTTCGTTGTATGAGAATCGATTCATTCAGCGTGGTGGGCGTCGAAGTCAGAGAGGAGCGCAGTATCTGCAGAAGAGATCCGTTCTTTCTTGAAAGTGGCATTACAAAGCATGCCGGGTATAGCTACTAGTATTGTTGCGCGCTATAATTAGCGACTGGTATGTGGCGGCTGATTATTAGCGCCATTTGGTATCAAGCAGCAGAAATAAGAGCGTCAAGGTCTTTCTAGAACTCTCCCACTAGCACCATCTGGTATCGAATGGAAGAACTAAGCTTTCTAGAAAGCTCCACTCTCGAACTTTCTGCACATGGTCAGTCGGGGTCCGGTATTTACTGGAATATTCTGGATGCTTCGGTGGAAAAGGCCTATATAAAGTCATTTAGGGCCGCGACCGGGGCAGTATTGAATTGGTGATACGAGCGAAGCTTTCGGAGTGAAATAAAGTGAAGTAAAGTGTTAAGTGTGATTAATTATTAGTGTCTTTTAAGTTTTAATTGGTTTTCGGTAGTTAAATTTTGGTAATTTATTGTCACGAACCTTAAGCTCGTAACAGTATGTATACACACAAGGTAAATTGGTGTTTTTATTTTATTTCAAAAATACTGACTGTAAAGATTAATACGAATCTGTGGCATTTTTTGTTTGTCAGTTGGTTGGTACAGGGGTTCACGGGCTGCCGTGCTAATAGGCATTTATTTTGTTACTCTTATATAATAATAAAATTAAATCAGTGCATTACCCTTAATACACGTCAAGCTGATTTTTGATTGAGCACTCGTACTGTGCCGAAGAAGTCTTCCTTTTCTATGTCTGCCATTATCATTAGTCCATATTAAATAATATTGTAATACAACTCTTTTGTTATGGAATAATTAAATCATTTAAAAACACAAAACAATTTCATTTATATTTTCTGGTTAAGATTTATTTAGGATAAGTGTGAAATGAAAAAAATAACATTTTATTAAAATCAACGATTTAGTATTAGTATATCATCTATTTAATGCAGCCTATTGCAGCCCACTGCCGAACATAGGCTTCCCCCATTGATTGCCTTATAGGGGGGGATTTCGAGATAGTTGACACGCTTGGCGAGCGGGTTGCCATCATTTTATTTTATTTTGTGTTCTTGTCTGGAAAATCCTGCTGCCCATCTCCTGCCTGTCTCCCTCTGTCGCCTCTTACGACAACCACGGGACGATATGGGGTAGTCGATAGTTTTACACCGTCGCTACACGGTATAGTAAAGTATTATACATATATTTAAAATAAAAGTACTTTTCAATTGACCTAACTGATAGCCCCATTTGTGTGTGTTTATATTTAAAATTTATTATACAAGACATTTCCACCATTTTTGTAAATCCCCTTACATCGTTTCTCTAGACTCTTGTATAAAGAGTTATAGTTTTCGCATAAACATATTTACTGACCAAACTTTTTATTTTCGGTTTAATATAGTTCATATAATAAAGATCATCAAATAAAATAAGAATTGGCCTAGAACTGTGGGCAATTCTTTCATCGTAATGGAAGTACCTACAGCTGAGTCATATGAAATCATGTGTATGCTTGTAAAATACTAGATTCACTAGGTATTTCAGGAATTTCCCTGGCACTAGCAACGCTCACGTGACTATATAGGGTTATGGGGGTAATGAATTTCCTTTCATAACCGCCACACGGGTATAACAGTATAATTATAGTATTGCACTTATATATCTATAGCTATCTAAACAGCAAGGTTTTCAATCCATTGCCACACACTACATCATATGGGTGATTTGAAGCAAAGAATAATTCTGAATTGATTATTTCTAGTTCCAATTGAATAACTTTAATTTATTTATAGAAAAGTTCTTGCATAAAATTGTTTTTTTTTTTATAAGTAAGTATATTAGGTTTGATAACTACCCGTTATTTTTATTTTATTTTCACACTAATTATTTAAACATTTTGCTTTTATTTTTAAAACTAAGGATCGAAAATTTTCACTGCCATTTCTGCAAATAATATAAGAACAAATACTTGTCATAAGTGTCCATCACTGATTAAAAAATCAAATAAATACGATCATCGACGTAACTTTTGTTTCATTATTTTTAAGGTCAATGTCAGACCATCGGTTAGTTGTAGCAAGTATATATTAATTGATGAAAGAAGCTTATATTAAAGTAGTACAAGCATTAAATTGTGATGTGGTGAACTAAAATTATCGTAACAAGAATGGGATAAGTATTAAAAAATTAATATATAATTTTACCTTGCAAATTGGTGTCAAAATGAGTAAATATAACATAACAAATTACCTGTTGTTATGTTATTACTTTACCTACCTTTTATTTATGTACCCTGATGCTGGCAGGATATGAACTTAAAGCTCCAAATTACAATAGAAGAGCACGTTATTTAACAGCAAAATGACATTCAAAAGACTGAAAAACCGAGGGTCGGAACATCTGCACATAAAAAGGCAATTTGAAGATTGCCAGGGGCGCGCAACCGCCACCGAGAATTGTACTCAATGTATTCAATTTTTTTTAAAGAAATACCGAGAAAATATTACAAGGAATTCATTGCGGTAAAATAAACAGGAGTGGCTTGTTATTGTGGACAATTAATTCACCGGAATGAAAGTAGCTACAGCTGAATTCCGCGAAATTATACGCGTATCTTCTAAATTTCAAGCGTCCCAAGGTTGTGTATGTACTCGAAAGTCTATATTTTCGTTTTTAACAAAGCATTTTCAAGATAATATTTTACCTATTTATTCGTTTTGTTATATAAAGGCGACCCACGAAAAACAATCCATTTCATCCTGAAAGTGTTGTAAGGTCAGGAAAAATCTATTAGCCTAGGATAGATGGTGACATAGTATTGTTGTATTTATATACAAAATGAAAAGGAAGCATCGTCAAGGATACGAACTAACGCTATTTGCGATCGCCAATTTCTCTGCCAAATTTATGACATAACTTTACTGTCATGGAGAATTCCTTGTCTTGCTGTGGAGTTTATTGGCTGATGAGGATAATACTATACATATATAATACTATACTAGACAACGTATCCGTTGTCACCCATGAGAATGAATAAAGAAATGAAGGAAACGAACGTGGAATGCCTCGTTTCAAGTAAAAGGAGTCTCAGGTTCTATATACTCACCATACGAAAGACAGCAGCATTAAGCTGCTACTTTAAGCTGGTATTCTGTGAGAGCATGACCTATTCGTGCTTCAACCATAATATAGCTGCTCTACCACGCATAAAATGTTTTAAAAAAAGGTGCAAAATGTTTGATTTTTGCTTGCTTGGATGTTTGTTTATCTGTTTGATTGTTTGCTTATTTCTTCGTAACAATACACAAACTATAATGTGCTTACAATGATCTACAGCAATACGCATAATTCAAGATGATCTTACAAAAACAATATAAGAAACCGAATACAATTAACTTAGAAATGAAAATGTATTTTGTAAAAACGTCGAGAAAGAGCATACAATTAGCATTTTCATAAAACGCACAAAGCATATATGCGCTACAGTTCAAAGCTACTAAAATAAAACATGAAACGGTGTGAAATGCTCAGCTAATTCTCTCTCCTACTTATTTGTGTACGCCGCGAAACAGCTAAAAAAACAAAATTATTCCCGAGACAGCCTTTGTAATTTCTATTTATAATAAAACGGAAGGTAATTTATTGTAGCACTCAAACATTCATCATATTTCGAAAACAATAGAGAGAATTCAATTACGGGACAATTTAAGTAAAGTATGTATTTTAATTTCCAACTCCAATATTGTAGCTCTCCTAAGTACCACCCAAGTTGTAAAAGCAAACAAAAACTGGATTTTTACAATTATTTTTCCGACGAGGGAGTTTCTTTGAATTTCATTTCAATAAAGATTGCAATTATACTTTTTATAACATTCGAACTCACTTACATTCTCGAAAAAAATATCTTTCGAAATCTAAATAACCTTGAGCAAAAATTCATGAAAAATAGACGAACAAGGGGCCCGCGGCTAACACCAAATTACTTCGTTATTTACTTTTTTTACTGAAGGAGATTAGGCAGCATTCATTTCTCTAAAGAAAATGTGTTACTTCAGATCAATAAAAAATGCTTAAAAAATATATTATTTACAAAATCATTTTGTACACATAAATGGCCATATAGCTCGAAGAACCGACAACCGATGGGGAAGAAATGTTCTCGAGTGGCAGCCTGGTAAAGGTAGACGAAGTGTGGGGCGCCCTTCTACTAGGTAGAGTGACGACCTAGTAAGACATGCAGGAAGTCACTCAGAAGTGGCTCAGGACAGTAATTTGTGGCATTCCTTGGGGGAGACTAATGTTCAGCATTGGACTTGTGAAGGGCTGTGATAATGATGATGGTGATGAAATGGTAAAAATTAAAACAAATTATCCACGTTATTCTTTTCATATAGGTACATCACTATCTGTATATCAGGGCGTGTGAAATAAGACTCACAAATATGCTTCAAAACGTTATATATTGTATTGTCAATCTTCTCCTTTCGTCAGCTTCGTGGTGGTCTTAAAATAAGAAATAAAGCTGTAACAAAAAATATTCACCTTACAAAATGTACCTGGGAGCCATATTAAATAATAATGAATGAAGCTTGTCGAACATTTGTAAAGTTCTTATAAATTACTTTCATAAGTTAAAAATATCCTTTTTTTTAAAACAGTTTACCAATGTCACGCAGCTGTTGGTTCTCTGTCTGTATGTCTGACTGTCTGTCTGTTTGTCCGCCTGTCTGTCTGTCATTACTGCTATAACTATTGAAAACATCTTGCATAGTTTTAAAGAGGAAAGAAAAATTTAACATCCAATTAATAATATTAGTTAATAAGAGCTCAAACAACACGCAGTGATCAGGAGCTGTGATGACCGTCATGACATTATTGTATTGTCATCGGTTCTCAATTAAACTTCTATACGTCTGCGCAATTTCGGATTATTTAGATATCCGAAAGTAGGTGAAATATAAAATTCAATTTTTAGTCCCCGCTAATTTTAGGCCTATTTCTGTACTGCCAACACTTAGTAAAATTTTTGAAAAAATTATTCTTGATCTAATGTTAAATTTTTTTAATGTAAATAATTTACTTCATAAAAATCAATTCGGTTTCACAAGGGGTCGCTCGGCAACTGATGCTGGTGTTGAGTTTATTAAATATATCTTTAATGCATGGGAGAATTCACAGGATGCTTTGGGTATGTTCTGTGACCTATCCAAGGCCTTGGATTGTGTTCACCATGAAACATTAATCAGGAAACTTCAACACTACGGTGTAAGAAGTAATGCTCTTAAATAAATTATTTCATTTTTAAGTGACAGAACGCAAAAAGTTGTCATTAATGGTATGAGTTCTTACGGGTCGACTGTACAAATGGGGGTGCCTCAGGGCTCAATTCTCGGCTTCTTTCTGTTTCTTGTATATATTAATGACTTACCTTACATAGTAGAGGATAACATGATATAGTATTATTTGCTGATGATACTTTATTAATTTTCAAATTAAAACGACAGTTATTAAATTACGACAAAGTAAATAATGCTATAGCTAAGTTAGTCAATTGGTTTAATGTTAATAATTTGCATTTAAATGGGACTAAAACTAAATGTATGAAATTCGTAACTCCTAATGTCAAACATGTTAATACGAATGTAATTTTAAATGGGGAAAAACTGAGTCTTGTTGATACCACCATTTTTCTTGGAATCAAACTAAACGCAAAGCTTCAAAGGCTCCCTCATATATCAAAACTGGCTAGCAGACTTAGTTCTGCAGCATATGCTGTAAAAAACATTAGAACTCTTACCAGTGTTGAAACAGCTAGATTAGTTTCTTTAGTTATTTCCATAGCATTATGTCGTATGGTATTTTGCTATGGGAACACGCGACTGACACTGAAATTATGTTTATTTTACAGAAGAGAGCCATTAGAGCAATATATAATTTAAAACCAAAAGAGTCACTGAGACAAAAATTTAAGGAAATTAATATATTTATGAAAATTTAATGTACGTACACAAGAATAAAAGTAGTTTTGCAAAAATAAGTGATATTCATTCTGTAAATACTAGGAACAGACACAAGCTAGTAGTACCAGTTACTCGACTCCACCGAGTCAGTAATTCATTCTTGGGGCGATGTATACGCTTCAACAAAATCCCAGAAAATATACAAAATTTGTCATACACAAAGTTCAAAAATGTTATTAAACTAAGTTTGTATAAAAAGGGTTATTATAATATTAAGGAATTTATAGATGATAATAACCCCTGGGAAGGGTGATCGCTACCAAGCTATTTCTAATTTGTATTGTGTTGTTGATTGTAAACATGATTGTAAGCAATTATTAAAAAAAAATAGTCCCGCTGGGTTTCTTGCTGGTTCTTCCCAGGACAGAGGTTTTTTTTGCGAACCAGTGGTAAATTAAAAAAGTGACCTTCAATAAGTATTTTTATAATCTACATTGAATAAAAAAAGTTTCTATTTCTATTTCTATTTCTGTTCTAACCCAATTTGATAACGATGATAATATTCAATTACAGTCTTATGGGCAACGTGTGATTACACAAGCGCATATTTAATAGAAACACTCACTTCTCGATCTAATGTAAACCTTATGCAATCAGACGTCACGACTGTCAGATGCAACGTCAAAATCATACATTTCAATACATTTGTCCCAAAAATCTCATTTATGCTTCTACACAAATGTTAGCTGCGATTCGTATCCAACACCGATGACGACATTCACCGGGTACTCTGATCACTTAGCCAAACTGTCGCGTAACTAATTATAAATAATAGTATGCACTGATGATAGCCGCATTAAAGTTCTCTTTTCAATTAACGTGTCCAGCAAACCATAAAGTGAATTATTCGCATAAGTGAATCTTAACAATAACCAATTAATTAAAAAAATATAGTTTCGCGAAATGGAACTGGACAAAAGTTGTAACAGAGAATTATTAAATGTATTTACAGACTGATGGTGCGGAAACGCTGCAGCAATCGTTACTTTTTGTGTTATCTTTAATTATTGTCGATGAACACAGATTTTTTGCGATTCCACAAAGAAGTCGTGCGAGGAAGAAAACTCCTTGTAAAACGCACAGTGGTAGATCGCCAAGCATCCAAGATGGTGTGGATGGTATTCTTAGTTTTTTCGCGGTGTGCATTAGTGAAGTTTGGTGGCTGAAATGAATCCGAACTATTCATCAGGACATTCCCCATGGTAAATGTGATAGAAAATGCAAACGGATGCTACCATCTCTTTGCAACGCCAGTGAATCGAGCCGATCAGAAAGAAGTCGGCGTAGAATATTTGAGCTGCTCTTTACTGAATGCGGTCAAGTGGAAGCATCTGGGACCGGGGTGCCCGGCCCAGAGATGAGAAAAGTATTGTACCATGTTAGGCCGAACCTGCGCATTGTAAAGTTTGCAAATACAGTCCCTCAGCTAGGCACACCAAGCTTTTTATAGGCCATTTTAGCCTTCCCTTCCACAACTACGAAACGGCCAGTGAGTTGTCCTCCCTGACGAGAGACCACGATGCGCGGGTTCCCAAAGGAAGGTGAACTCGTTTTTTGCCATGGCAATGACTCTTTTGAAGGATTTGGAAACGAAATTATACTTCTTTTTAAGAGCGCTGGTGTTTACACGTCGATGCGTCAGCCCAGGTCCGGTAGCACTTCTTTTGGCAATGCTGTGTGTGGCAATAACTCTTTTGAAGGACTTGGAAGCGAAATTATAATTATTTTTAAGAGCGCTGGTGTTTACACGCCGATGCGTCACCCCAGATCCGGTAGCACTTCTGTTTATAGCGTGATGCAATTTTACACGAGTGACCAAAACATGGCTGGGATCTACCTACGATGGGCATCACAGATGATTGAATAGAAAGTTTCATTCCCTGAAGTTCATATCAGCGGTAGAATTAGCAACAATGTTGGAATCGTCTGGCGAGAAGCAAACCCGCCGCCAAGGATAGGATGCAAAAAAATACCGCATCCCGTCCCAATTGGTCGACCTATAGTTTCATACACGGCGGCAACCTTCAGAACTCGATGTTAACATGAGTGGCACCATATTTCGGATCAGACAATGGTTTGAAGAGGAAAGAAGATCGTTTACGGAGACAGCGTAAACAGCAGCATTAAGCTGCTATTTTACGCTGGTATTGTGAGAGCGTGGTGCATCAATATTACAGCTGCAGCGGTGCTCTACCACACATAAATGGGACATGGGACAAATGTTTTAATAAGACTAAAACTTACATCAGGGTCCTTTTGGTATGAGCATTTGTGAACGTCAAATACTCTTTGACATTTATCCTTATCAGGTGTATCTGTAAAGAGTTTAAATAAAATATAATAATTTATTTCAGACAATAGAAACTTTACAAATAAGATGAATATCTCACCCATGTGCTTGCATGGCAATATCATGTTGGAGACTCTATCGGTATAATGCTCGGGTATGAGGCTGATCATCAGACCATAATCAATATTACCGTCATCTTCAATCTATAAATATAAAATAAATGTCATAAATTATAAATACCAAAATAAAGAAACTCAAAAAGCAAAAGACTAAGTAAGTAACTTACGAGGCTCGCCTCTTCCAACAAGCAATACATATAACACTTCAATTTCGTATCCTCCTTAAATATGCCGATTTCGCAATTCGTTATATCCTCTGGGGACAAGTAAGTATAAAGACTCTTTAATGTAGCAAACATGAGATATGTTTTCCTCAACAACGTCAACTTAAAACACGTAGAGGTGACGAGTGTTTTCAAATGTAGTTGATACGAGCGTTACCATGCAGATCTTTAAGATTGGTGCAACAAACATACCTACAAACTTTCATGCTTTTATAAAACGTACTTTGTGTTTACAATAATAATGATGATGACGCTGAATAATATAGCACACATTTTTAATTAAACTAAAATTGGTGTACGTTAAGTTACATACGTTGGATAGAGTAATTATGGTTTCACACGAATACTATATATACTATGAAGACAAAATAGAAGGAAATACAGTTTCTATTTATTCTCAACAACAAAATATTTAAATATAATAAATAACATTGGTTATCAATTACCAACGAATGTTATTGAATCGAATTTACTTATAGTAAAAGTCAGTAAATTAAAAATAAGTTGATATACTAATATTTATAGCATTTAATTAGTTATAAACATTTTATAAGAAACCTTTTACTTATTCAAACATTAAAAGTTTAATGTTTGAACATTAAAAGTTGTTTAAAAACTAGTTTGTAAAAGAATGTTCTAATAAAATCGTAACACTATAGTGCGAAGCTTAGTCGCGACGAATGTTTCGTGTCATTCGCATGCGAGCGAAGAACAAAGGTAAGCGGAAATAAAATTTTCTTTTGCAAACTTACCCTCGGCGACCCCAGTTTTACCGACGCACTCGTTGTGAATATGTTGGATTATTTCTTTGATTTCATCGCTTAGTTCCTGCGAATATATTGAGTAACGTACCAAAAAAGTAAAATAACACCTTTTCAAATTATATATCACAAGTGAAATTTTAAATGTATATTATTAGATAATTTATAATGAATTGTTGGTTGTTCTTAAAAATTAATAAAAAACAGATACCATACAAGGTATAACTATAATAGTACCTTATAATATCTTTATAATATCTTTAAATGCATGACGCAATTAATATCAGATACATATTCTAAAAAATTAACCAGTGAGAGAGAGAGAGAGAGAGAGATTTGCCCTGCTTAGAAACCCTAAAAATGATTCATACACCTATTCAGTGTAGTTTCATTATTCAGTCCCTTAGTCTATCTAACCGTGATCTACATGCGTTACCTTTGTGAACAACGCGGGGGAAAGCAGTCGCTTCAATATTAAAAATGAGATAACATTCTCAAAGAAAAATTATTAAGTCGAGATTCCACGGGGACCAACCCAATGCGCATCAAGTTGTATCATAACGTTAAATATTAATTTAAACGGTGTGAGCTCGTTTCCATTGTCGTCTGAAAAATTTTCTGGAACGTATATTAAAGTATGCAGAATATAATAAACTTTAATATCAAGCCGTTCTAACACGCCTTTTAAAAAGTAAAAATTTTGTCCGAAGTCTACGTATCGTTTTAGAATAATTCTGTTCATATGTCCATAATCTACAAAAATTTATTAAAAAGTTTGTTTATAAATTCAACCAACAGAGGTAGGTAGGATCTTCGTGCGTTATTGGAACCAAGCGTCAATGTCAACGGATACAGTGGAGCTTGTACTTTCTGCTTTAGTATTCGGAGACAACGTTGAGCAATAACGTCTCGCTTGTGTTCCCATACCGTCACTCATCCATCAACCCTCACCTAACCCTCACTGAGCACTAAAACATTTCATAAAGTACGCGACACGTCCGCTTTACGTGAAAAATTGACTTTGTTAAAATGTCTCTGAATGTCTTTGCAGGTTTACTATGCGATTCATTTTAGTATCGCCAAAAGATATTTTTATGTTATGATACTCTAGTTTACAACACAGGCATCTAGAATCGAAATGTATCGGTTCTTTGTTGTATTAGGAATGTGATTGACAATCATCAAGATACAGATAACCCTCTCTGTATAACTTAGCATTTTTAAAACCACCAAACTCGTAAAATACATACACGTAGGTACATATACACATAGGTACTAGTAAGATTGATAGACAAACACGAATAAGGACAAACACACTAAACATTAGATGACAGCTGGTAATATGTCTTTTCAAGGATGCGTCTGGAATTGGTATGAATTTCCATCTATCAGTCTTGACGGTGATTCATTTTGTATCAGTTATAAGTGGTAAACCCACGCTGCAGTTGCAGTAGGGCTGCTGCACGAATAGGTTGACAACCGGGTCCGTAGTCCTGCCTCGCTCGTACAAAATGGTATTCTATGCTGCGTTGAATAGCAGCAAAGTGATGTTTTGATTAGTGTAGAGAACCAGATCCTTTTTACTGTTAATGAAATACTCCATCCTAGTAGTTAAGGGTTATAACGCATCCGCATCATGAGTCTTAACTGAGGTTAGATGTAGATTTACGTAGTGTTGCGATAGTGTTGTAGGATCATAGTGTTCATTTACGAGTACCATTCGGTGAACTTTATTATCTTTTTTACTCTTTTTATAACAAAATTTTTACCTTAACTAAACTAAAAAAAATTCGTGCATGTGGAGGCGTTTGACATATATTTATTACACATGGGTAAATATCAAGAGTCGGTTTAATTGTTTACTTGTTGCTTATGACAATTGAATGCGTAGCCCGTAAATCATAGCCAAACACTTGGCCGCTATACTACAGGGATATCATTTGGAGAGAAAGTTCGCATTTCTTCTAAACCAGAAAAATATATATGTAAAAAATCTATTGTATCTTACCGGCTTTTCTTTAGCACCGTGTCCAAATGCAATGAGCACCAAGAACACTGCCAGTGTTGCCACAGACATGGCAACGAGCTGCCTATGCTCCAGTGTTCCGATAACAGAGAAAACCGTTCAATTTATACTGACTGAGATTAAAACACGATAGGAGTTATATTAATTGGCGTAATTACACGAAGGTGACAATTAACATATTAACCACATACAGCGGTTTTGTTGCACCACAAGCTATAATCATATAAGCCGGGAAGTTTCAAACGCGCATGAATTAAAGGGAAGTTGGAAGAGGAGCAAAACTGTAATTAGCTTTAAGACGTTGCAAACTATAATTTTGAAAAAGAATCCGTACTAATTGAATGAGTAATGCTAAACAAGGATAGACAACACAACTGCAACACTAGACTCCAACAGAAATAGCAAAGCAAATTTACAAGCGAAAATTATTAAATAACTGAGCAATCATGATACATTTAGATCCAATTTCTATTTATGTGTTTAATTATTGCGCACTAATATTTGTGGAAAAAGGATTCCCGCTGGATTTCATGCTGATTCTTCCCAGGACACAGGTTTTTTCCCAACTAGTAGTAAAAATAAAAAATTACTTTTAGTAAGAATTACTTGTCATCGACATTTATCAAAAAAATATTGAAAATATATAAACATATAAATTACTTCGCAACCTTCCGCTAAATAAATACAATGATGTATCTTACCTGGATTGAAGAGCACCTCCCGCCCTCCCTCAATTGCATGCACTAACTCCGTCACCATTAGTCCCAGCACCACTACTCCCAACACCACTACTCCCGGCACCACTACTTCCAACACCCACTATTCCAGATAAGACACACCATCGACGATAATATGACACGTGTTTCGCCTCTACATGAGGCATCCTCAGGTAATGTAGACTCTACGGCGGCTGACCGCTAAAAAATATATTGTTCTATTCTCTACTTTAGCATTTAATCATTTACATTCTGGCTGATCACATTCAGCACGACTCACAATCACAATGTACACATTTGCTTAAGGCGGGACTGAGGTTTTAAAGTGGCCTGCTGAGTTCGGACCAGTATTCAATTGATTTTATTTGTGAGCTCAGTTCAAAACAAGTAAGTTCATTTAGAAATTAGGTGGCTCTTATTTTGAGTAGTATATTATAATCTAAAGTATCTACACATTTATTTATCAGTACAGTAGATAATAATATATTTGTAACAAAGATTTAACACTCACAACCTTTACTTTTGTAAGAGCTATGCTATTGTTGCCCATAGAGTAATTAGTGGTTTCGTTTATGCCAAGACTTTGTGTAGGATCATACATACGTCAGGAACCCTTATCAGCTTTAACGATAGTTAATAGTTAACTGACAGCGTGTAAAATACCTCTTCTCTATTTACTGCCCGATAAATTTATAACAACATACGAATATTATATATGAAATCAAAAACTATTCGCTACAGTATTATCTAGTTTATTGAATAAAAAATTAATCCATTTCCTAGGCAAATACTCGTAGGTATGCAAAAATACCCATGACAGTCGGCAGGAGATTTATATTTATGAAATATCTACTAAACGTTTTTAGTAATCTTGCACGCATACCTATGCCGTGTTCAATCGACATGAAAAATCCATTAGGGTCTTTTGCGTCGGCAAATAGGCTGGCGTAGGCAGCGGCAGTGACCGTGCTAAGCGGATTTGGTGCGTCTCTGTCTGATGCATTGCATATCCATTGCCTAAAGCATTCATATACATACACATTCGGGTATTTAGAGCAAACAAAAAAGAAGAAAAAATCAATCACTTGATAGTTTTATTTTGAAAAACTACCAATGGATCATAAAAAGATGAAGCGAAATAAAAAAATTATACTATCTTATAAACACTCGCGTATACTCTAATATATTACCAATATTTCAAAAGCATACATTTTGATGGGGTGTTATTGTGATGTTATAGTAATTATTCTCTTTGTTCTGATACGGCATCGTGTACATACGTTTTTGTATAAGATCAAAGGTAGACTTATCCTCTTACCTCTATACTTGACCATACCTCTATGCTTAATGTATCTTCTGAGTAGTTTACAGTAGTAATAGCTTTCAATAGTATTAGGTAATTGTTGTCGTAGCCAAAATCAGCCAGCATTATCATTTGTGACTTATTTTAGTTACTCCTAAAGTTAAAAGTAATTCACAACGTCATAATATAAATACCAGTTATTAATTTTGATAACAGTTAATCTATTCATATTTTCTGAATTAATGTCGTATTAGAATTTGTCATAAGTAGGAAATGGGAGCATTTCCTACGTCTGATAAATTCTAATATTATTTTAAACCTATTATTAAGATTTAAAATATTTTTTTAATTATTTGGTACCAGTGACATCAAAGTACGAACGCCACAACTTACATATTGACTTAAATATTAACTAATAATAATAATTCTTCTTCTTCTTATCTTCACGCACAATCCCTAACGGGGTAGCCATAGAGAACAGATTGCTAAGTGTCACGATCCTTACATACCTCTTTCGCTTCTTTCAGGTTCATTATCTTCTTCATACATGCACGTCTAGGTATCCGAGTACTCTTGACCTTCCCCTCTTCGAGTAATTTGCTCACATAGTCTTCGAAAGTTAGTCTCAGTCTACCTCGACACCTTTTAATATTTACTTTCGCTCTATATATTTTCTTCACCATTCGGTCTTCACTCTTTCGCTCAACATGCCCAAACCATCGGAGTACGCCCCTGTCAATTTTTGTGATAAGGTCATCTTTCAATCCTGCCATATTGCGAATCTCTTCGTTTCGCTTTCGGTCGGCTATGGTAACGCCGCACATTTTACGAAGAGATCGCATCTCCACTGCATTCAACTTGTTTTTATGCTTCTTCTGGCATACCCAGGTTTCCAGGCATTATGTATTGCAAGGCGTGCACTCTTCACTAGGCCTTGCCTTTTGACTAACGCATTCAGGGCACCATTAACTTTTTTCCCGGCAGCGACACGCCTGTCCACATCTAAATCACATCTTCCATCCCGGCTGAAAGCACTCCCCAAGTAATACAATTTCATTTACCTGTTCTAGACATTCCTGATTTACCCATATTTCACATTTCGTTCTCTCTTCGTCCTTTTCAAATACCAGAACCTTAGTTTTATTATAATTCAATAATAATAATAAATTATTCCTGTAGTCGTCTCTGCGAATGGGCTAATCCCAGTCAGCCTCTCGGGTCATCCGAGGCGACTGGGACTCCGTGACGGACCGCTCCGGGCTCAAATGCAGATCCTCGATCCAGTCCTCGATATCGCCCCATCGTCCGTCGGTTTCTTTCCCTTTCCTCCTAACCCTCGGCCGTTTGGTCTCTCCTGCCGAGGGCTTCCATCTGGTTGGATCTTTATTTTATTTTATTGATATTTATGTATATTTATCTTTTCATTTTAATTTATGCAACCAAAAAAACTATACGAACCCCTATAATAATAATAATAATATAAACATTTGTAAATGTCAGGTGGCTGATAGACCAACCGACAAAGTTAACACTGGGACAAAAGAATAACTAAAAACCATTCAATATTACGGTAGCCATCTACCTTCCCATAAGTCCTTGAGATGTTTGAATATAACTCAATTATAACACCGTTAAACGTATTACCTAACGCGTATAAGAATACCCCCATACCATCATGTGGGTGTCATAAGAGGTCACGGAGAGAAACAAGTTAGAAATTGGCCCGTCTTTCTAATAACGACTAAAAATATAAAAACTGCGGTTGCCGATCCGTTTACCCAGCGTGAGAACTATGGCAAATATCCCGCCGATGCGGCTATCTATGGGGGAGGCTTATGTTTAGCAACGGAGGTTAATAAGTAAGCGCATGAGAAAAATTATTTTATTCAAATTAATTTATTTTTCCCAGTGAAAGTGATATATTGGAATATATTTATGTCAACTACAATATTATTACTTATGTAATAATTATAGAGATTATTTAAGCCATTTTGACGCCGTTTACGACGCGACAGAAATCACGCTCATATTCTCTTTTAATGTCATCGACACTGGTAAAAAATTATATATAAGGATTCTAAAAGAGAAGAGTTAGTTGCGAGCTCTGAGGTACATTAGAAGGAATGGTGAAAAAGTTAGAACAATATTAACCTTTATTAATGATTACTAAGAATTAACCTAAGAATTAACCTTTTTTAACATGAGAATATGCCTACGCATGCCCGCCTCGCGGGGACAAGGACGGGTTATGTCGGACTAGCACCGACAGAAACCCCATGGTGTTTCACCTTTGATGCATATTGACACGTCTATGGAAACGTTTTCACATATCCGCAGCACGGTCACCCCATGGCAACCCCTCCTCGGGAGAGGACAACTCTTCTTCCTTTCCCCCTTAGAAAAGGGACGCCAGGACATTAGGCACGCTTTTCTCCACGGCCTCCAATTCTACCTACGCAGTGGGCTCCCCCGGTACGTGTAGGCCGCACTCCTCTTCCTCCGCGGCTCTACAACCACCGCATCAATGGTACGGCTCCGTCAGAGTCGCGGAGGGTGGAGTGAGTGGCACATCGCCATACCAACATTCCTCTTCCAACGCGACTCCACCTCAGCCAACCAAGTGTATTCCTCCTTATTCCAAGCCACGGCTACTTAGCCACCACGACAAGGTGGGAACCAATTCGGTTACTGGAGGAGTACTGAGTTACCTAACCCAACTTTGTGAGATTCTGTGCATACCCAATGCTTGAAGCTTTCTTAAGGGGATATCATGATATGCATATTCAAAAGCTAATAATAACGTTATTATATTAAGTTACGTATGTACCTTTAGGAAGTATAAAATAATATGACAATGAGGACATCCACCACTTTTTCTGCCCCCATGGCGGCGCCACGTAAAAAGGAGGTGTACAATTTGACATATTTCAAAGCGGAGATGTTAATATGTTCGAAAAATGTAAAGGTTAATGATTCTTACTGTAAAGTTAAGTAAAAGTAAAGTTACAGCCTTTATACGTCCCACAGCTGGG